TTTCCCTTTTTTTATATATATACATATATATGGATGAGCAGTAGTAGCTTGAGCAAATGTATTTTGATTGCATTGCTCTCTTTTATACAATTTTACTAATACAATTTGTCTTTTTCCAAAAACTCCTCTTCTGTGACGCCCATGCCCATTTTGGAACAACTACCGATAATGTCTAATATCTAGGTTTACAAGTAGTTTTAAAATCTATAATCAAGGCGATGGCACCTTTACTGCAAATCGGACTCTTGGTGTTGTTTGCAATCGTAATATTTGCAATCATTGGACTCGAGTTTTATTCGGGCGCACTGCATAAGACTTGTTATAGCTTAGAAGATCCAAGTAATATCATCAGTGTCCATATGCTATCCATTTATCGGGGATTGCCAGAGTGATATATTTCTCGCTTCATTCTTCTAGACAAACTAGTGAAGGAAGGTGAATCGGAGACACCCTGCAACACAGATAACACCACAGAGAAAGCAGGTGGTTCCTATGTGTGTAATATTACGACGAGCATGTGTCTGGAGAAGTGGGATGGACCAAATTCAGGCATAACAAGCTTTGATAATATTGGCTTCGCCATGTTGACGGTATTCCAGTGTATTACAATGGAGGGCTGGACGGCAATACTATATTGGGTAAGAATAAGGATAAAAAGATGCGATATATATATACTATATATGTTTGTTTTCTTTATTAACCATTCTACAGACCAACGACGCATTAGGTTCATCATTTAATTGGATATATTTCGTGCCTCTTATAGTTATAGGCTCATTTTTTATGCTCAACTTAGTTCTTGGTGTCTTGAGTGGGTAAGTTGGCCTTGAACTTGTCTTTGAGTACCAACACACAGTCTTCTGCCACAGTTTGTGTTTAAGTTGTTTTTTGATTTGATCTCTGAGTTCAAAATATATGTATGTATAAAGATCAATTTGAGAAATTTGAAGAATTTATCTCCGAAGTTCTCTTCAGAACCTCTGCTGTTGAGTAAAGAAACTCATCAACTATATCAATTCGAAGAATTGGATAAATCAATCTTCGAATATCACTCGACTCAATATCAATGTTGTGTATATTGTACAAAATACTCCATAGTTGTACAAAATATAGTCGATAATCCCAAAGTGTACATATTGTACATAGTGACTGAATATATTGAAAATATTTGATGTAATTGAAAATGTCAAAACATACATCGAACGAATTACAAACATCAAATCTAATGATCTTTACTTGTAAATCTCTATATGTACACATATATATATATATATTTATT